GAGGGGGTGGGTACAGCTGGCTCTGCCTCTAGATAGGCAGAGCCAGCTGTCACCCACGCAGCTGGGCGGATCCAGACATAATTGTCGGGATCAGTTTCAGCTGTGGCGTCTCAGTATACCGCGAGCTGTAGCTCGCAGTATACTGAGCTTAGGGTGACGGGAGGACGCTGGTTTGTGTCCTCCTGTTACCCTAAGGAGAACTATGGGGAAATTCCCTAACCCCATAGTTCTCCTTTAAAGTTTTTGTGCCTGAAGTCCAGCGATCAGTTTTCTCATCCCTAGACTGTGATTGAAAGCTTGTTTCCTAAAAATCTGACAGCAGTTCAGTACAGGTTTCTGTGGGAATCAGGTCTGAATGTGGAAGGAGCCATCCTGTGCTAAAAATGCCGCTTTGTGATGGTGGTTCACATTGAGACCTGTGCTGTGCTGAAGTTGGATGTTTTAGCCTCAGCATAGGAAACAGATGGTAAGATTTTATGTTCAACTGAAACTTCAGTGGAAGCCTTTATTTTTGCATAGAGGGAGGAAGATTGCGACCCTAGTCAAATGTTCCTGTCATAGGGATTTCCCCTCACTTGCTGTCTCAGTGGCCACATAGGAAGCATGGGGAAAACTAGACCTAATATTAGATGTATTTTGTCACATTAAATGCATGCAGGCCAGATAATGTTTAAGGGGTCCATTTAGAAAAGTTCCGCCAGGCATATAGCCGGGTGAATAACGTTCACATGGCACTTGCACCCCTAGATGGCGATGGTGAGTACCAGGTATGCACCGATACTACGGATATACGGAAATTAGTATGCTCCGATCCTTACCTGCTATACCGGAACTTCCAGTCAGAGGGAAATCTCCCTCTGACCGCAAGTGCCGAGGGAGCATGGAGCCGGTTCCTTTCCAATCAGCAAGCCGGGCAGTGGGTTATGACCTGTCTCCCGGGTTCCTGATTGGCTAAGAAGCTGGCTTCACTTATTGCTAGGTAGCCTGGCTTCCTATCAGCAAGCCGATCATGTAATGACCCTCCTCCCGGCTTCCTGATTGGTCAGGAAACCAGGCTGCCTAGGAACAAGTGAAGTCAGCTTCCCAGACAATCAGGAAGCTGGGAGGCGGGTCATGATGTGCCGCCCGGCTTCCTGATTGGCTAGGAAGCCGGCTTCACTTGTTGCTAGGCCACCTTGCTTCCTGAACGATCAAGAAGCCACAGCGGCTTCACAGGCAATCAAGAAGGCAGGTGACGGATCATGATCTGCCGCCCGAATTCCTGATAAACTGGGCAAACGGCACCAGTGCTCGGTATGGGCTAGTAAAGAAAACAAATATCGGTACTCGTACCCAATACCGTAAAACCAGTATTGGTGCATCCCTAACCAATGCCAATTTTTTTTAAGACCGAGCACCGATGCTTTTCCTACCTGCCAATACCAATACCTTTTTTTTGTGTCATGTGACAATTTTTCTAAAACAATACAGACAAATGCTTTTAGGACAGTGGTGGAGCGCCAGGGTCAGATGATACAAATTTGACACCCCTGTCTAGGCTCGCGTGCCACCAGAGGGGCCTCTGCGGCACGCATGCCATAGGTCCGCCATTGCTGCCCTAGTAAACCAACTTGCTGCAGAGAAGGTCTCATGGTCTCTATGCAGAGGTTCAAAATGCCCCCTGCTGAGCCAGAGTTCTCTAATCAGCAGGGACAATGAACTGATTTATAGGTTTCACACAAAAGGGGGGTGTCAGCTCTCTGCAAAGAGACCACTGCTTCCTCACAGAGAGCAAGAGTCCTTTGTTGTAGCATGCTAGCAGAGGACAGGCCTTTCTACTCAAATTGTTTCTGCTTTCAAAACAAACTGTGAAGGCCCATTTACACCAGCCTGGTCTGCAGCAGTGCAGTAAATGCACATATGTGTTGTCTTAGGGAAACTCATTAAATGTAAAAGGCTGCGTAACACACCACAATGGACCAAAAATCGCCTATGAAACAGCCTCAGCAACTGTTGTAATGCACAGTAGTGGACTATGTGTTATGCAGCAAACCGAGTGCTCTGGGAAGGTGCATTGTGATGCTGTTCATAATGACAGGCACCCAGGGGTGCGCAATCTCTATTGCCCAATGCCCAGGACATGCAGTTCTGGGCACTGGGCAGGTGTTTTTTTTCTACGTTTAGCCCTGCTGCAGGCAAGCAGAGCTAAATGTAGAGCAGAGGAGCCGCTGGGCAGCTGTACTTGTAGCAGCAATGCTGTGCTCAATCTTCTGTATTGGAGGGCAAGCTTCATATAGAGAACCTGTCACCTCCGAACGCTATCCCATAGGGGCTTGTTAGCCTCTGGGTGATTAGAAATAAAGTTGAGTGAAATTCAAAAAGAAATAAAAAGTTAAAATAATACAGTAAATAAAATGTAAAAAATTGAAACCAACCCTGTCGTCCCTGTCATCTGCATGCAAATGGGCATTGTATGTGTGTGCTCCCCATTCCACCATTCCAGTGTGTGACATACTGTGGTAGCCGTGCAGCAGCGCTCTCTAACATGCACAATGTGCATTAAAGGGTAAGTTTACTTTCCTAAGTATGTTGATAAAAAGAAATTAAATTATCTGCTCATATCTGCCCCCCCCCATACTTACCTTTTTGGAGAACAGTCCTTCCCCTCCGCCGATATGGATGTGCTATCAATACCCTGTACTGCCGTCCAGCCTAGCCCTGTGCTATGGATTTTTAATTTTGCTTGCAAATTGCAAGTAGTGACGGGCTCGGGCGTGTTCGCAGCTCCACGTGCCGAGCACGCCGAAAGCTGACAGCGCACAGCGCCAATCACAGGCACTGACACATTTCTCGATCTCTGCAGCTGCGGACCGGGAACATGTCTCAGTACCTGTGATTGGCGCTGCGCGCTGTCAGCTTCCTGGTGGGCTCGGCACGTGGAGCTGCAAACACGCCCGAACCCATCACTAATTGCAAGTACTCGTTGGTCAGCGGGGTCCGGTGACCAATGAGAAACACTTCTTAGCACGGTTAAATAAGGTTTGGGTTAAAATAATTTTTTGTGTGACAAGTAGATTGGTTCCCCGTTTTAGTTCTTGGACAAGTCATTTTTAAAAAAAGTGTCCACACCCCTGGGCACTGCAGCACACATAGCACATGCATGCGGACAAGCCCTAAAACATTGAATACCTTTTGCTGTGATGCATCTGGAATGTATTTTGCTGATTTTAATGCTGAACTTTGAAAAACAAAAAATTGTGAGGAGACAGCACTTTATTGCATGTTATGTCTTTTCTGCAATAATACAAACTTACCTGCCTGCTCACAATCTTCTTTAGAATGTGCACTGAGCCGTGCATGCTGGCCGGGGACAGGCTTTTCTACGCAAGCTGTACCTGTTTTCTAATGAAAACAAACTGTAAGACTTCACACACCTTTTGTTTCAATACACCTGCATATTTTTTATTACGGGTATTTACACAGTGCTGACAATTTACACACCACATATTTACATCAGTCACTGCCCTCGAGGGCCTTACAATCTAAGGTCCCTTTATTGCATACTAGGGCCAATTTAGATAGGAGCTCATAAGCGTAACAGCTCGTCTTTAGAGTGTGAAAGGAAACCCACACAAGCACAGGGAGAACATGCATCTCCTGTGCAAATGGTATCCTGACTGAAATTCAAACCAGACCCCAGTGCTGCAAAGCAGACGTGTTAACCAGTAAGCCACTATGCTGCTCCATGAGTATGCTCAGCACACATTCCCAGCACAGTGCACTGCATGTTACATTATTCCAGCCCAGCCAACCGAAGATCCCAAACCCCAGAAGCTTGCACTCTACAATGCATGCAAGCTGGTGTGCAGTGTGTTGGGGCGATGTGATGTGTTGCTACAGCATCGCACTGTTTACTTCTTTTAAACCTTGTCACAAAATTGCCCTTTATTCAACTCTATGCACTGCAGGGCATTGGGATCCGTTGCACAAAAAACATAGAAAAAAAAACAGCTGCCCGGGGCCCGGTACTGCAGGTCCCGGGCGTCGGGCAATAGGAATTGCGCACCCCTGGGTGCCTGTCATTATGAACAGCACTAAACGCACCCTCCCAGAGCACTTGGTTTGCTGCAAAACACATAACCCGCTGCTGTGTGTTACAATGCGCTGCTGAGGATGTTTCATGGACAATTTTTGGTCCATTATGATGCGTAAGGCAGAATATTGCTGAGCCTGATGAAGGGGACCTTGTGTGGCCCCGAAAGCGCTTGTTTGATTGACATGTTTGTCCAATATATGGACACTTGGTCATTTTGAACGGAAATTCGGTGTGCTGGTGACATCCATTAACAATAATTATTATAGGCGGTGCCAACCGCGGTCACTGCGAGCACCCTCCCTGCTACCTGAGATACTCGGTAAGGAGTGCGACAAGCTATCTGCATACTGCATGTGATGCTGCATCGCATGTTGCAATGTTTGGTGCGCTGCAGTGATAATTTCTTAATGGAACCCCAACACACCTCGCTGTCACATGTAAGCTGTATTGCGCCACATTACATGGTAATCTGTTTCCATGCGATTTGATCTAAATAATAAATGCGCAATTTATCTGCGGTTGCTGCCTACCACAATGCACCGCGCAGCACCACTGCAATGCCGCATTAAATAAGACGGTTTTGGGGGTCCTCAGGGGCGGCTAGCAATACGGTTGCCCCCTGGCCAGTGATAATTGTACTTCTTGCCAATGGTATTAATAGGATCAGATTCTGTGTTTTCAGAAAATGTGGATCAATGTCTTTCACTGGCCATTGATCCAATTTAGGGATCGATGGCGATGCACATCGTACACACATTCCACATCATCGATCGTATGGGCCGGTAGGCGCAGTGACACCTGAGAGGGTTTCTAATATATGTGGAGTTGTCACCCTGGAGCTCTCTCCATGTGACTGTCACACGCCTTCTCTCTCTGAACTTGCATCACCCCCCTCTCCTCCCCCTCCGGCGGGAGCGCGCACAGAGGGTCCCGGGAGGCGGGCGCGCGCACTGATTGAGTACGGAGTGTCCAATGGGCGGGAGTGCGCGGCTCCGGCCTGTCTGTTGGCGGTGATCGGGTGAAGATGGCGCCGGGCGGATGGAAATCCTAATGACAGTCTCCAGGATCGCTTCTATCTGTACCATGGTAGGTGTGGGAGGCCTGGAGGACGGATCCAGGGGGAGGGCTGCAGGGGACGGCCAGACAGGGCGTGGGAAGAGGGAGGAAAGGAGTCCGCTCTGCGGTGCGCGGCTCTACGAGAGGCCGGGGATGAGCTGCGGCCTAATGCTGGATGTCAGCTGTCCGGTCAGGTGGAATGGGCAGTCAGAGAGCTCACTGGAGGAAGGCATGGCATCGCTTCATCTGGCCTGTCAGCCTTTACTACCACTCCCACCTGGCACTGTGACACCGGGGATGAGGGCACTTCCAGAAGAGAGAGAGAACTGCAGGTGGTACAGGGTGGGGGGGAGAAGAGAGAGAAAACTGCAGGTGCGCACAGGGCAGAAGAGAGAGAAAACTGCAGGTGGGCATGAGGGGGAGAAGAGAAAACTGCAGGTGGGCATGAGGGGGGGAGGAGAGACCTGAAAAAAAAAAGAGGAGAGAGAAACTGCAGGTGGGCACGGGGGAAGAGAGAGAAAACTGCAGGTGGGTACGGAGGGGAGAAGAGAGAGAGCAAACTGCAGGTGGGCATGAGGGGGAGAAGAGAAAACTGCAGGTGGGTACGGGGGGAGGAGAGAGAGAAAACTGCAGGTGGGTACGGAGGGGAGAAGAGAGAGAGCAAACTGCAGGTGGGCATGAGGGGGAGAAGAGAGAACTGCAGGTGGGTACGGGGGGAGGAGAGAGAGAAAACTGCAGGTGGGTACGGAGGGGAGAAGAGAGAGAGCAAACTGCAGGTGGGCATGAGGGGGAGAAGAGAGAACTGCAGGTGGGTACGGGGGGAGGAGAGAGAGAAAACTGCAGGTGGGTACGGAGGGGAGAAGAGAGAGAGCAAACTGCAGGTGGGCATGAGGGGGAGAAGAGAGAACTGCAGGTGGGTACGGGGGGAGGAGAGAGAGAAAACTGCAGGTGGGTACGGAGGGGAGAAGAGAGAGAGCAAACTGCAGGTGGGCATGAGGGGGAGAAGAGAGAACTGCAGGTGGGTACGGGGGGAGGAGAGAGAGAAAACTGCAGGTGGGTACGGAGGGGAGAAGAGAGAGAGCAAACTGCAGGTGGGCATGAGGGGGAGAAGAGAGAACTGCAGGTGGGTACGGGGGGAGGAGAGAGAGAAAACTGCAGGTGGGTACGGAGGGGAGAAGAGAGAGAGCAAACTGCAGGTGGGCATGAGGGGGAGAAGAGAGAACTGCAGGTGGGTACGGGGGGAGGAGAGAGAGAAAACTGCAGGTGGGTACGGAGGGGAGAAGAGAGAGAGCAAACTGCAGGTGGGCATGAGGGGGAGAAGAGAGAACTGCAGGTGGGTACGGGGGGAGGAGAGAGAGAAAACTGCAGGTGGGTACGGAGGGGAGAAGAGAGAGAGCAAACTGCAGGTGGGCATGAGGGGGAGAAGAGAGAACTGCAGGTGGGTACGGGGGGAGGAGAGAGAGAAAACTGCAGGTGGGTACGGAGGGGAGAAGAGAGAGAGCAAACTGCAGGTGGGCATGAGGGGGAGAAGAGAGAACTGCAGGTGGGTACGGGGGGAGGAGAGAGAGAAAACTGCAGGTGGGTACGGGGTAGAGGAGAGAGAAAACTGCAGGTAGGCATGGGGGGAGATGAGAGAGAAACTGCAGGTGGGCACTGGGGAAGAGAGAAAGAGAGAAAACTGCAGGTGGGTACAGAGGGGAGGAGGGAGAGAAAACTGCAGGTGGGTACGGGGGGAGGAGAGAGAAAACTGCAGGTGGGTACGGAGGGGAGAAGGGAGCGAAAACTGCAGGTGGGTACGGGGGGAGAAGGAGGGGGGAGGAGAGAGAAAACTGCAGGTGGGTATGGGGGGAGAAGAGAGAGAAATCTGCAGGTGGGCATGAGGGGGAGAAGAGAGAGAGAAAACTTCAGGTGGGTATGGGGGGAGAAGAGAGAGAAATCTGCAGGTGGGCATGAGGGGGAGAAGAGAGAGAGAAAACTTCAGGTGGGTATGGGGGGAGAAGAGAGGAAATTGCAGGTGGGTACAGTTGAGGGGTGTAAAGCTTCATATGGGTACAAGTGGAATAAAGCTGAAGGGTGAGAGAAGGGATAACCGTCAGGTGGTTACAAGTGTGGGAGGGGATAAAGCTGCAAGTAGGCATGTGTGAGGTGGGATAGCTACAGGATGGCATGGTATAAGAGGGTATATAGCTGAAGGTGGCATGGGTGAGAGGGGGATAAGCATCAGATGGCTGTGAAGGAGGATAATGATCTGGGGAGGGGGGTGAATAAAGCTGCAGATAGCCCCTCTGTAGGTGGCACACCTGTGTGAGCTAAGGTCAGCGGGTAGGTATAGGGATGGGCACAGATGTGAGTAGCAGAGTATAGCTGTGTGCATTGTACAGAGTCACCGGAAATGACATACAACATATCGGGAAGTGTCATGTGGAGGGTACAGGATCCACTGGGAATTCTGTGTCCCCGGCCGTAATCACAGAGCGGACCTGCTGTTTATGTAGAAGTCGTTTTATTTTCCTTGGAAGAAGAATAACATTACTGGAAGATTCTTCTTTATGGTTTGCTGTCCTGTGTGCTTACTAGGCTGCCGCTGGATGGCTCAAGTGCCACATCATACGTGTCCTGTGCCACATCATACGTGCCCAGATGCAGCCAAAGCTCCCCCAGCCATGATGAATAACCCAAACGTTACTGTAGGAGCAGGCAGGCCCCGTCATACTTGTACTTTGACTCATCTGCCACCAGGCATGGTGCAGGTACCTCGTGGTGTTTTTATTGCACCACTAAACCACTTTACATGTAGCATGTTGCGTACACATGATTTCTACTGCTCTGTGTTTTATAGTTCATTCACCTGTGCAGCTTGTCGTCGTCTGTATGATGACCATCAAACTTTTGCTTTCCGCGTATCATTCTGAAAGCGTAGCTGTATCATCGCTCACCTGTAGCAGCCACAAGGATCTTTCTTCTATTTATAATCAAATGTCCAAATTTTCCAGCAGCTCAATTTCTGCAGCCGGTTTTGTGTGTTCAAAGAGCACATATTTCTCTGTGGGAGGACGGTACAGGAGAAAAAGCCCATCCTGTTCTGTGTAGCGTGTCATTGGCCGTCATGAATGACATTAGCTGACATTAGCATGAAAATAGCCCGAGGACTATTGGTGTACATTCACATGCTTCCTCCTGAACACACAGAGCTGTGGCTGCCCCTTGCTCAGGGCTGAACACATCCCAGAGGCCATGTTGCGTAAGATATTGCCCGAGTTTTGGCACTGGAATGAGGTTCAGGGATGCTTATCTTGCCTTGGTTGTGCAATTTGTTTTCTTCACATGTTCCATATTTATTTTATAATAATCGTGTGTAATAAAATTCTGACCACTCGGCGATAATTCATGGGTGCTGTATGACAGCTGGGGTCTGGTTGCTGGTGATATTACAGTTAAAAGGTTTTTAAAGCAGAACTTGGGGGGGGGGGGAAAGGGTTAAGTGCTCGTTTTTGTCTAGGGAGGAAAACAACTAAGTTATACTCGCCCAATGCTTAGAGCCAGCCCGCTGTGATGGCGATCCCTCCAGCCTGTCTCCTTCCCTGCTGCAGCAATGGTATTTCCCTTGGTGTCCTCGTGTGCTATACTCAGTGTATAGAACCTAAGGGACCTCAGACTGGTGCAGTGGAGGGGGAGGGAGGGAGGCTCCAGGGACCGGTCTAAGAGCAAGTCGGCCCCGAGGATCGGGTAAGTATATCTTCTTTTAACCTAGACAAAGACGAACACTTAACCCTTGCAGTTTTGGGGTAGCCCTACTGCAAGGGTTAATAAAAAGTAGTAGTCGTTTAAGCTATTTCAAATGCTTCAAATTGTTAAGGGATTTTTCACACTATCCGGCCTGCTAAAAGGCAGCGTTTCAGCGGACAGGCTGGTGCGTTGTGACCACTCTGGTAATGTGCGTTGTATTGCAGTGAGTGTCAGTGCAGTGTCACTGTTTATATATTTTTATTTTATGTGGAGTGTACAATGTGCACGCTCCGTTCAGGTCTCCACTGCGATGCTGTGTGACGACCTGTGGTGGCATCCAGTGCACTGCCATAGAATGCAGCATGTTTGCATTCTATCGCAGCACGGTGCCCCGCCTATCACATCCGTGCTGTGCTGTGAATGGAACACATAGAGAACAATTGTTTTCTATGTATCCTAGTGGTGACCTGTTGCGGCATGTGTGTACGGGCCCTCAAAGTTTCACTCATTTTGCCTGATGAAGGGGATCTTGTGAGACCCTGAAAGTTGCTTTTTGATGCATTGCGCTATGTCTCATGCGTCCATAAACAGACGCCATTGATTCATTACTTGGGGTGCTGGTGTCTAATGTTATTCAATAAGCTATGTGTGTCTCCACAATCACATAGGAACAGCAAGGCATGTCACTTCCCTCTTCCCTGCTCCCCACTCCACCTTCTTCCTTTCTCTTCCAAGCTAGTAGATGAACAGTTGCTGAAGTCTGCTCTACCCTTTGTGATTTTGTATTGGACAGGAAAATCAGGGAAGCTGAGCTGAGAGAGTTGGAACTGTTAAGAAACACAATGAACATATTTGGGGAAAAATGTGAACGCATACTTTGCTGGGCAATGTGTATATTTGATTGATCTGGATTCATTATTGGAAAAAAAAGTTTTGAGAGTTTTAAGCTGGCCACACTCCTATAGATTTTCGAGTGGAAATGTTTGTTGCTGCCAAGAACCTTCTTTTGATTCTAGCGCAAATAGCCCATCATGCACAGACCAATGTCGGTTTCGATAATTGCTCGTTAGTTATACTAACTCACCGAATTTTGTCGATCGACAGAACGGATTTTTGTTTGCTCACATGCAGTGTTCTTGCTGCCAATTTTTTTTTTCCATACAAAAACACCACTAATTCCTCGATTTTCGTTCCATTAAAAAAAAAAAGTTTTCCAGCCTGACCGAGGAAATTCGTCCAGGAGTACAGTCATTAAAATCATTCGGTTCCCATCATCTGATTGTTATCGCTCGAAACCACGTTCA